CTGAAGGTGGGGGGCCGGCCTGACGCCTCAGGGTGGCACAAAGGCAGCCGAGTCGTGTGTCCCTGCTCCCGGCGCCACAGGTCAGGGCCTGCACCGCTCGGCGAGATGACACCACCAGGCAGAACATTTAAACGCTGCCCCTTCTTCACATCGCTTCTCAGCCCGTGGTTCGTTGTCCCTCCCTCCCTCACCCCCTCCAAAAGCTGATTCACAAAGACTTTTTAATTCCTATTAAGTGCAGCGAGACAAAATAATTGTCTCGGGGAACAAATGTGACAGCTGGAGAGAACAGCCAGCAGAAACCTGGCGGCGCCTCAGCCTCACCACCCACCCCGGATGCTGCTCCCGGAGGAGGGGACCCACCCCCCAAACTAAATCCGAAGGCTGGGACGTGTCGCTAAGCCCGCACAGAGGACGTGGTGGGATGGGATCAGGTCACTGAGCCGCTGCTGTCCCCATCCGTTCCTGATAAGTCACAAAGGCCACCATTTCCAGGCAGGGAAGAGGTTCCTCTTAGGCAAGGGGCCCAAACCCGTGCAGGAGAACACATGCACCCCTGGGTAGCTCTGCACCATGGTGGTCCAGGCTGCCACGGGTCCACCAAGTGTCCCCATCATCTCCTATCCCTCAGCAGCACCCAGAACCACCCAAATCCCAGTCCTGGCTGGGCTCCTGGTGTTCCAATCAACTGGGTCCAGCGCAAGCGCGTTGCACCATGTGCTGGCTTCGTGCAAAGCGCTCACCTCGGGCAGCTGAGCAACCTGCCACTCAAGGCTGACGCCCAGGACATACCGTGCCGATGAAAAAGAAGCTAAAAATAACAGATTAAAAGGGGGGGGAGAAATAAAAAAAAAGGAAAGAAAACCACCGTATGTTTGTGTTGTACGAGAAGCTTGGAAATTGAAACTGCTGGACTGAGACATGACTGACAGAAAGAGAAATTCCCGAAATGTACAGTCAGGTCAGAGAGATGACACCTGTCAAGACTGGAAAGCTCATTAGTCAAATGCAGGCTGCTGAGCAAAGTTAATTGCAGACCACAGCAAGGTGAGGTTCACCCCTACACCCTCCCTGCTGACACCGAGGAGATCAGCTGCAGGACACCTTGCGTGATGCCCACTGATTCACAAGCTCCTCGGCCAAGCGCTCCAAAGGCTGCCCAAGTAGTCCAAGTATCTGAGAAACGAGACCACCTCATCTCCCGGGAACTGGGATAATTTTGGTTCAGCTTTCCTGATTTAATGCCCTTCTGCTGCTCATTCTGTGCTACACCCAACGCTGGGACCCACGTCCATCCATCACCCCCCATGCTCTGCTGTCCTGCTCCCTTCCAAAGCAACTCGGTCTTACGCTGCCTACAGCTGCAGTCATAAAATGAAATCTCAAATTGTTTTTTCTCCAGGCATTTTTAGCCCAGAGTGTTTCTCCCCGCAGCCAAAAGGTATTTCCTAGGCACAGAGCTAAACATTCCTGCCCAGGCTCCAGAGCTTGCAATCACAACACCAATTTTATCTCAGGTGTCACCTTGCCCAGCTCAGACGTGAAGAAGCTTCTCCACGTGAGATGCTGACCAGTCCATAAAGCACCACAAAAAGTCATCTTTAGGAGTTTTTACTTATTCTAAGAAATAATTCAAACGGCTGCTGAAGGTCTGTTCCTTCAGCCTCGTCAAAGCAGAGCACTGGGAACAATGCACAAGGGCTCCGGGTGAGCTGCCTCCATCTTGGAGAGGACGGATTTATCTCCTGTTCACCCACCACCAGGGATGGAGCAGCCTTGGAAAGTCCTCCCGTCTCCAGGGTCCTGCCCCGGAGCCAGCTTGAATTGGAGCAGGTAGGGAGCGGAGGGAAGGAGTGCGGCTCTCAGCTCCTCAGCGTGTACAAGGGAAATAAAACCACGTGCCCCCGAGCCGCAGGAATGTGCCAGCATCCTCCTCCGCACTCAGTCTCAGCACCCACAGCCCATGGGCTGCCAGCAGCTATGCACGTCTGCTGAGTGGGAGGTCCTGGTGCAGCAGGGACACCCAAAGCTGGCAAGGAGGAGTCACAGGATCACAGGGGGGTTTGAGTTGGAAGGGACCCTAAAGATCATCTCGTTCCATCCCCCGGCCCTGGGCAGGGACACCCAAGCCCCATCCCACCTGGCCTGGAACACTCCCAGGGATGGGGCGTCCCCAGCGTCTCTGGGCACCCTGTGCCGGGGTCTCACCACTCTCACTGTAAAACATTTCTTCCTTAGGTCCAGCATTTCTTCCTTAGGTCCAGAGCCTTCTCTTCTCCAGGCTGAACAGCCCCACCTCCCTCAGCCTGTCCTCGCAGGGGAGGAGCTGCAGCCCCTGATCACCCTCACGGCATCCTCTGGACCTGCTCCAACAGCTCCATGTCTTCCCTGGGCACAGGACTCCAGAGCCAGGCACAGTGCTCTGGAGAGTGTCTCACAAGAGCAAAGGGACAGAATCCCCTCCTGACCTGCTGGCCACGCTTCTTTTGATGAAGCCCAGGATGCGACTGGCTTCGTGGGCTGTAAGCACACATATTGCTGGTTCATGTTCATTATGTCACCCACCAGTATGCCCAACTCATTCTTCACAGGGATGCTCTCCATCTATCCATCCATCCATCCATCCATCCCATCCATCCATCCATCCACCCACCCATCCACCCGCTCATCCATCCATCCTGCCATCCACCCATCCATCCAACTATCCATCCATCCACCCATCCTTCCATCCTTCCATCCATCCATCCATCCACCCACTCATCCATCCATCCATCCATCCATCCATTCACCCACCCATCCATCCATCCTTCCATCCATCCACCTACCCATCCATCCTTCCATCCATCCTTCCATCCATCCATCCACCTACCCACCCACCCATACATCCATTCACCCACACACCCACTCAGGTGGGACCTCACAACACCTAATTGTCCTGCAGGATCGGCGTTTCAGGCATCCAAACCCAAAGCACTCCCAGCTCACAGCAGGCTGAGAAGGGGCTGAGAACACGTCGAAGGTGCCAAGATCCTTCCAGGCCTGCCCTGTGCCTTGCTGGAGGTCGGCATTTTGAGATCTGCAGTTAAGTCTAACCCCCAGCACAAAGCAGAAAGCACCGACAGAGAAAGGACTGGTTGGAAAACCGACTAATTAAGACACCGACGCTACATGCACAGTCTCAGGAGAACCAGAAAAGCTTCCACCTCTGCTTGGGGAGGAACTAGGAGCACCGAGGAAGGAGACACCAACATGGGCAAACCACAGGAGGAGGAAATCCAAACAACCTCAGGACTTACCTCCACCCACTTCCCATCGACTTCCATGAAGAGGACACAGAAGGGGTCGGATTTGGAAGTGACGTCCCTGTCCAGAAGGTTTTGGCCGCAGATGGACAGCTCGACTTTGCAGACGCAGTACTGGGAGCCGACGGGCCCCGCCGGCGCGGGACTCACAGTGTACGCCATGGACTCCAGCGGCAGCTGCTCCGGGCAGTCTGTGGGGCACGAGAAGGGAGAGAAACCTCAGCGCAAGCGCAAAGGCAGAAAACGCTCTGCCGGCGGGTCGGGCACAGGGGAGTCACCTCCAGAGCCTCACACTCCAAAGTCCTGAGGCTCTTCTGCCTCCAGAGCTTCTGCCCTGCCCAATCACCATCCCCACCACACCAGGCAGACGTCCTGGGTGGGAGGCCAGCAGAGCACCTACGACCTGTCTTGGTTTGGCTCCATAAATAACAGGAGGAAAAGTAACATCTTCTGCTTAACCCTGCCGAGGAAACAGGAGGTCCCCAACCTCTTCTTCCAACACGTTCTTTTTTTTTCTGGGGAGGAACTCCACTTCCACACCACCTTTCGGCACAGAAACCGGTCATCTGCCTGGCCCCAAGCCATGGCCCATGGACCTAAGCTCTGAGGGCCAAACTTGAGCTCTGCCCCCTAAATCATGACAGGGAGAGGGGTGAGACGGTGAGGATGAGTGGGGTGGAGGGCAGCTCCAGCCCTGGTTCAGCCCTATCTCCACTCAGCTCACCAGGCAGCAGTGTCTCTGGCAGCAACTAAAAAGCACCAACACTTGGTTTGCAGAAGAGCAAAGCAAACGTGACAACTGTTGCATGACCCGGTAGATGGGATAATCTACAGGGCCCTAATAAAAAACCCCTCTGTCACAAGAACTTACCAAAAGTTGACTATCGAAGCCGTTTTGCAGAGATACGTGTGGTTTACACCGTTATTAGTGCAAAACCCCCGTGCCACACGGCAGTTTTGCCTTCTGGTGGGCAGTTTACCTGGCGAAACCCACCAAAGGTCTTCAAAGGAAGGGGAAAAAAAGAGAAGAAAAAGCATTTTCAGATGAATTGACACTAATAAACCTTTGCAGCTGCGGTTGTTTGTGGAGAGAGAGCTCTTTCCAGCTGCTGCTTCAATCCCTTTCGCCCAAGAGGCGGCTCAGGATTTCAAGAGCGGCTCCTGGCTCATTCACTTTCTCTGAAAACCCCAACCATTGCCTTCCTCTATCCTTCACAAGCCATCTACTGCTGTGTGGCATTGAAATCCTGATTATTCATTCGTTTTGCCCCAGGCATGAGTATTTACAAGCATGTCCGCTGCCGGGTTGTCTCTCTGCTCACAGCTTGGTGTCCTCCGAGCTGGGATGGGGATGGGGCGATCCCACCATGGCCATGGCAGAGGGAGCTCCGGGAAAAACAGTTCCCTTCCTACCTGCCAAGATCTCTGCTTGCCACTAAATCAAGGGTTTAAATTAAGGGTTTAACCCTTAATAGCAAATGCAAGCTCTTCATCGCAGCCTGCTGCTGAGGGCAAGAGCGGAGCAATCATTTCAGCTCCACAGGAACACAGAAACATCTCCAGAGGAAGAAAATCCCCATCCTTGGCTGCACACACACACGTACGTCACCGAAGCAGCACCAACATTCCCTTCCCCAAGTGCAGTTTCCCCTCGCCCGTCTCATGCCACCTCTCCCCGGCACCAAATCGGTGCCAGCGCGACACCGGAACCGTGACACACGTGTGGCATCTACCATGACTTTGAGGAGAAATACACAAAGAAGCAAAAGTCCTGAAGGCTCATCCCCCTGCTCCGAAATGCCCGTCCCCACCCGAGCTGCCTCTGCTCCTCTCGAGCCCGTGTTCGCCAGTTGCAGCTAAAAGATTTTATTTAATTTTGGTTTTTTCCCCCCTTTAATGTACACATCGTGTAATCGATGTCTTAAAATAGCCGCGTCTGTTCTATTTATGCTGCTGTCTGTCTGCCGCTCCCTCCGAAAAGCAAACACGGGGCGGCTGTGCTGGCGTGGACCCGGCCCCGCCAGAGCAGGGAGATTTTTCCACCTCCCCCTTTCCCCTCAAATCCCGTCGCCATCTCGCAAAAAGCAGAGGCAGCGAATGACTCAGTGGAAAAAAGCTTTTTTTCCCAGGGCTGGCAGGCACCAAAACATCCTCTCGGCAACGCTGCGCAATCACCCGTGCTCCGGCCCCCACGCTCAGCCCGCCAGGCTCCCCAGCGAGCACCCCAAATTGGGGACTAGGATTTGGAGAGCTCGATGTCGTCTCACCGGTGCCAAGCACAAAATCCTGAGGTTGCCTCTTCCTTGAGCGGGTGAAAGGCAGCGGGAAGATGCTGTTGTTCCTTCCCCCAGCATCCCAGTAAAGATGATTTTTCCACCATGGAGTTGCTGGTAAAGCAGAAGACACAGGCTGCTCCTTCCCCCAGCTCCAGTCCTGGTAAGGGTCCCAGTTCCACCACAAAGTAAATATTTTAAGGGGAAAAAGTCATTTTTCCTAGCCAGGCTGGCTCTTCAAAGAACCCCGTGGAAGGGGCAATGCTCGGAGAGGTGGCAGGGGCAGAAGATGGCGATGCCACGTCTGTCACCCCTGAGGAAAGGTCAACCACCCCCTCCCACGCGTCAGTACGGACCCAGCACCCTCCCCAGGGCCAGGCGGGGGTTTGACCCCTGAAATCTTGGCAGTTGACATCTGAGGCACCATCAGGCTCCAGCAAAGCCGCGTTTTAAATTCAGGGGGTGGATCTGAGCTGGCATCGAAAGAGCCAGCTCACCATCATCTGTATTCCAGGCTCTCCTCCTCTTTTTGTTCTCCTCTCCCCGCATTCGCTGCCCTCAGCGAGGTCCCGCGACTTGCTCGGCATCCGTGGCCAAATATTCTCCCGGCGTAGAATCCCAGCTGCCGGCTCCGTGCCGATCGCGCGGCCGCACTCCCCAGGAGAGGCCTTGGGGAGAAGCGTGAAGGTGCGACTGCCCCACGGTCCCATCTGCCATCGGCCACAGTTGATGCTCCACGAGGCGTCACAAGGGCAGGACCAGGGTGGAGACACACGGTCCCCAAATCCTTCCTGGGCTCCAGCTTCCAGGACCTCCTGAGCATCTTTGCACTTCGTAACCCACAAGTGTTTTTTCCTCCCTGTTTTGGTCACTTCCAAGCTGCTCTGTGTCCACGCCACTCTGCAGTGAGGGGTTTCACCGGCTCGGGGCATGCACAGACTCTGGGGCCACGCAAAATATCCAAGATGAAGATGTGGGAGGCCCAGAGCAACACACAGAGATGTTCTTCTCCTCCTCACCCCATGGCCCCTGCCTCGATCTCTCCAGCAGATCCCCAAAGCACGTGCACAAGGGCGAGCTGGATCTTTTCTTCCTCTCTTATCTGAAAGCCGGGGAGGGGAAGGTGTTATCGGTTGTGCAAATTAACTTCTGCCCTGGGAGGTTCTCCTTCCCTCTGCAGAAGAGCAGCCTCACGAGAAGCAGTCGCTCGGGCCATGCCAGGGCTCTGGTTTAAGCATCAGCAGGCAGGAAAACAAAAAAAAGAAGGAGGAAGAAAATGAAGCTGTGCCTTAGGTGAAACATTTTGGGGTGGTTTTTTTGAGGTTAAGAGTGTTGTTAAGCTTCAGCAATCTCCTCTCCTTAAAGAAATCAGATTTATTTTCGCAGGGAACACCAGGCAAGCTTGAAACAGACCCAGAAGTACCAGTAGGCACCAGTGATACCACACCAAGTCCCCCTGGGTACTTCCCGGGGATGTCCTGTCCTTCCTTCGGGGCGATCCATGATTTTGTATCAGCCCGCAAAAGTCACCCGTGACTTGGTTTACCCGCTCGGGCTGCCCCACTGCAGCACGCTGCAACTGCAGAAACGAATTTCCTTTCTGAAAGGAGAAACTGAGAGAGATGAGCATCAAAGAGGGAAATCTGTGCTCCCGCAAAGCCCGTATCTGAGTTTACGGACAGTGGAGACAAGCGGGAGAGCAGCGGTCCCTGAGGGAGGATGAGGAGCAGGCGAGGACGGGTTGTCAGAAGATCGAAGCGAAGGAGAGAAGCAGGAAGACGCCGTAAGCAGTCGCCCAGAGCTAAGCTGAACGGCAGCGCACGCAGAGCTGGAGACGCCAGGAAAAGCCGGGATGCGCCGGGACGGACGCCCGACGCAGCCTTCCACACCGTCGCCGGCCACTTTGCTCCCTCCTGTCAACAAAACCCATCAGCCCCCAGATTACTGGCAAAGCAGAAGGCGTTTGCCTTTCAGTCTCGCCTAGGCAACGCGGTGGATTCACCAGCCTGCACCTGGTCTTAATAACAGCCTCGTTACCTTCCGAACGCACGTGCAATTAGTCGTGGACGCAGCACTGTGCCACCGGTCCCCTGCCCAGCCCGTGGAGGGAGGCTGAAAGGGGATGCTCACACATGAAAACTCCCCGCAAGGACGTACCTTGGGTACCCACTCTCATCGGAGGAGCCGTCACCTCTCCCGCGAGGCGGGGAAAGGCTGAAAACTGCCTCTGAGCACCCCGGCGTGGGTGGCACAGTTGGGACTCAACTCAGGTTGTCCCAAATTCTCAGAGATTCAGGGTAGAGCTGGCAGAGAGGGATGCCCAGGCTGGGCTCTGGTTTTCACAAGTGAGTGAGTTCTCCTGCTCTGCCCAAACCAAATGAAGATATTTTGGGAGCCTGACAGAGCGGGGAAAAGGGTTTCAGGCCAACGTAATTAAGTTATTTCCCCAGCGAACCCTTCCTTGATGAACAATGTGCCTGACAACGCTTCAACAGGTAACGCTGCTCATGCTGACAGCGTTTGCATGGAATCTCAGAATCATTACGGTTGGAAAAGACCTTCAAAATCATCAGGTACAACCATTATCTAACTCTACCAAGCCCAATTCTAACCCATGTCCTTGAGCACGGCACCTGGGCAGCTTTTAAACACATCCAGGGATGGCAATTCAACCGCTGCGCTGGGCAGCTTGTGCCAGCCTTTGATAACCCTTTCAGTGCAGGAGTTTTTCCCAACGTCCAACCTAACAACATCCCCACTGTGTGACTTGATGCCATTTTCTCTTGTCCTATCGGTTGTAACTTGTGAGAAGAGACCAACCCCTATTTCCCTACTCCCTCCTGCCAGGGAGCTGCAGAGAGCGATGAAGTCTCCCTTCAACCTCCTCTTCTCCAGCTGAACAACCCAAGTT